CACCTCCAGGGACAGGATGAAAGATGAGGCAGGTGGAAGATTTGGGACTCAAAATGGAACTGTCGGATAAAGTCCAATGGCTTTGCCATGACAAGGACCTGTAGTGCATGGTGGGTTCTAGACATGCTGTAGCAATGAGGGGTTTACAGCAGAGCTTCTAAGCCTGATGTTGGCTGCTGCTTGGGATCAGGTCAGCTGGTAAGAGCTGAGAAGCACAGAGGAACATCCACTATTACACTCATTCAAATTAAAATTGCAGTGAAGACCTGACAATTAGAGAGCAGACATTACTTCTACTGGGTAAATACAGCACGGAGGAAATAGAACACAGGAGTATTTGATTTTTGTTTGAAGCCTTTGTTTTAAAAAAGTGTTGAATATGTCATTGCTGATAGGGATATTGAATAGCTCCCACTGCTGTGATACAATTGAAATCTCTGCTGATGACAAGTAGTAGCTCTAAATTGTTGAAACCTGGAACAGATCGACACTAAAACACATTTTCTCCCTAAAGACTGAAGCCTATTGAATAACAAAGGTTTGTTAGCTGAAGTCCCTTGCAATCAACCCTGGCACAAAGCATGCATTCCCAATGCCAGCTGTTGTTAGCATATTAACAAAAAACTGATTTCAGATGTGAAAAGATCAGGTGTTAAATTTCCTCATTTACCCTTTTATACCATTATAGAAATAAGTGGATGTAAAAATACTGTTTACTCAAAATAACTATAGTACTAAGTGTGGAATAAATGCAAATCAGTAAAAAGAACTTTTTTTTTTTTTTTCCCAAAGACACAAAGAAAACAAACCCCTAATATTTTGTGCACAATTAAGGACATTATGTTTAGGGCTACATAGTGTTTCAGTAAAAATCAGTGTCTGCTGAATATGAAAATGGCTTTATAAATGTTTCTTGATATCAGTTACATATTACAAATTGAAAAGTAAAATTAGAGAGCAGCAGGATGTATTTCTTTATCTAAAAGAGGTCACTATTCCAAATCTGCAGGTACCAAAATGGTTTAAAGGAAAGCCTGTACTAAATGAAAAGACAGCAGCAAAAAAACCAGATCTGAATTCATCTGGAATAAAATCATCTGGAAAGAGCTGTAATAAAAAAACAGTTTCAGTCCTCAGATTTTTCAACTAAGCCAGCTGATTAGCTCTGCAAAGATAAGGCAAAAAAGACAATTTAAAAAAGGAAGCACAATAATGAAACTCAAAGAAAGGCAATATAAAATAAATCTCTCAGCATAAATGAGATGAGAATTCATTTTCCCCGTGATGCTCTCCGCAGCTCCTGAAAGTGCCTGCTGCTGGCAATGAATGAAATAAAAAGGGGGAGGGAGAGCAGAGGGAAAGAAGTGTTAGCTTACCAGCCGGTGGAGCTTATCGCTCCACTCCCTTCGTGACGCTGGAAACTCACAAGCCTATAAAATGTGCCTTGGCTCCTTCAGCAAAATCAAAAGCAAGAGGTGGCTTTACACAGGAGAAGTAGGATGCTGTTCTATCCCGAGGTAGCTCTCCTGACTTAGCTGCTACAGCACTTCTTACAGTTTGAACAGCAGAGCTAAAGCTTTTTTCTGACAGATATCCCCTGTACCTGCTGTGCTGCCTTACTTACCCTTTCCTTCCTTCCCTCTTCTTATCTGTTGTTGGGGATTTTGAAGGGTTGAGAAAGGAAAGTAGAAGAGTGACATCATTCCTGGAAGAGAGGAGAGGAACATCCAAGATGACTTCTGTCCCCACAGCCAACTGGAACGTGAGCATGAGCAGCAAGTGGAACATGAGCCTTGCTACAGCAAGTGATACCTGGGGACAGGCACTGGGAGTGCCAGCTGGAAATGCTTCTCCCCCTGTAGCATCCTCAGCAAGCAACTTCTCCAATCAGTTTGTACAACCCTCTTGGCGCATTGCCCTGTGGTCTCTGGCTTATGGTGGCGTGGTGGCAGTGGCCGTTTTTGGAAATCTCATTGTCATCTGGATTATCCTGGCTCACAAGCGCATGAGGACAGTGACGAACTACTTCCTGGTGAATCTGGCCTTCTCTGATGCCTCCATGGCTGCTTTCAATACCCTCATCAACTTCATCTATGCACTGCACAGTGAGTGGTACTTTGGAGAGGCTTATTGCCGCTTCCACAACTTCTTCCCGATCACAGCTGTCTTCGCCAGCATCTACTCCATGACAGCAATAGCTGTGGACAGGTGAGAAAAGAGAAGAAAAGTTAGGGGTTAGAGATTAAGATCAGATTCTCTGCTGAAATAAAAAAGAGATAACAATCATTGTGATGAGAGGCAGAGACCTGAATAGTTCATCAACTGTGCTCTTCTGTACTTCTTTCCGTAAACCTTGTTTTAATTCCTATCTCTCTCCTTCAGCCTGTCATTGTTTTTACTCTCCTGCTTTCTTTTATAACGAATATTTCAGCTCTCTGTTTGACTTCAGCTGCTCTCTGTGCTCTCTTTCAATACTAATTCTGTAACAGCACCCACTGCTGAAGGTTTTTCTTCCTCGCCTGTGAAAACAGTATCTGTCCCTCAGTCAATGCCATCTAATTCATACTGATTAGGAGTTGTAGAAATTGTGTGTAAAGGGAGAGGATTTCAAATTTCCCTCCTCTCTCTATTTCTGCAGCTGGCAGAGGCATTTGTCTCCTCTTCAGAAATCACTTCGGACTGTTTTTAATAGCTCTTCTCACAAACAGCTCTGAGCTGCTTTGTTTCTCCCAATTTTAACTAATGAGACTATTTACATTGCCATCTGTGCATATCCAGAGGACCGATAAGAACATGATTTCAAAGTGCTCAATTTTTTTCTGATTTCTTGGAGCTAAACAAGGCTTTGTGACTGTCAAAGAAAACAGGACAGGGAAAAACTTTATCATTGTATTCTTGAAAATAATGGAATAAGACAACTGTAGTGTCCATAGAGTGAAGGGGAAATGTAGTTGCCTGATTTTCAACACAGATGCATTGATGGACTGTCTTTCACAGAAGGTTATGTGAGTCTCCCCTGGGAAATGTTTCTATCTTTATTATTGTTTTCACATTTGCTGTGGTAGAGAGACAACTTACTGAATTTTCTTTTAGAAAACCAGATCAATTTGTACTTCAGATCTCTTATTCCTTTTAGCAATGCACTGAAATTACTTATAAAACTCATTTATACATATTCAAATCACATTATACATCTTTTCTGAATTGACTTGGTGGAACTGCAGCACTTCCAAGTGATTGTAGTTAAGATTTCATAAGGGTCAATCTACCTTCTGAAATATTATTTCTCATTTCCAGATGCAAAGACTGGGAAACACATTGTTGTACCTTTTGCCTGTGTTTGTGAACAAGTTCATAAATTATTAGGGCTTTTTCATTTGCCGTAGTAATTGCAAATTTTTGGTGGCATTCTTAGACAGGTGCATTTGATGCAAAGCTAGAAATGAATGGGAGAATGAGATTCTTGGTAACTCTTCTACCTCTTTGCTCTGAGTATAGGTGAAGATACAAGGAAATCACTATCCTTTCCTCCTGACAGTGGTGTATCTTCTTCCCAACTGTTAATTCCCATTAAGAATGGAGAAGGTAGTGTAATGCCAGTGATACTACCTTCAACCAGGCAAAGACTTCTTTCATTGTCTATTTGGGTTTAGCTTAAGATGCTTTTCTAGCTTGACACTTTCAGAAAGATAAGAGGGCTTTAGTTGATGCTGGGTATTTAGCAGCTGTTGTTGCAGCTGATCAAGTCTTTAGTTGAGCAGTTACAAGGATGCTCTGAGCAAGGTTTCTTCCATATTTTCTGACAAAATTATCCACAGACATATAGTACTTACTACTTTGAAAGTTCCTAAATTTATGCTAAGATCCAGGAAAAGAAGGTGAATACAATTCCTTAGGAATCCAAACAGTGCATTTCTGGAGTGAATGAAAATAGCTCTGCTACGCACTGACTGAAATGCAATGGTCAGATACAAAACGTATTAGAAATGTTTTCCTTGGTTCAACACTGTGAGACGCTGGTGTGTCAAGTGCGTCACGGAAAACAAACACAAGAGCAGCCTATCCTTCCTTCACTATTCACACTGTTACTCCTTTTCCTTTTATACCAAATAACACCTGATGCATTCAGTACCTTTAATAATTTCCTGGCTACCTCTGCAGAGCAATTCTGCAGAGTCAAGAGGAAAACTAAGGGTCAAAGAGAATCCCAAGGGATGTCCTTGGATGTATCAATTGTAATATTCCAGGGCACAGATCTGCTGGATGGATATTTTTTATAACTTTGGTTCCCACTTGAGTTCTGTAAAAGTTCAGCCACTACCTCACTGGACACTCTGCATTAGTTTTAACCCAGTACACTCATCTTAACACATTCTTTCAAATCAAAAATTTAAAACAACAACAAGAAAGCTACAAATTAGGATAAAGCTACCAAGGGAACTGAATTGATGGGATCATATCAGATGATTTTCCATTAGAAATTGTAACCGTCCCAAAATACTGAAAGGTCATGGGTTGCAGCTCGCTAAAAAGTATGTTGTGGTATGCTCCACTGACCATTTTTGAACATCTAAGTGTTCACAGTATGAATGAGTTGCTGTGAATCTAGACACCACTGAGCAGAGGTCACAGGTACTATGTGTTTCCTTTCACATCTGATTCTGTAGGCCATTCTGCATTGTGTGCACCGTGAGATTATTGGACTGACAGGGAGTTCTGCGGAGCAGGCAGATCCTGCAGTGGGGTGTGCTGCATCTGGAGCTGAGGATGAAAGTATACAAGATTGCTGTATGACCACTCTGAACACAGTCTCAAATTTCTGTGGGTTTATTCGCAGTTCTGACCATTCCTTCCCAGTATTTCCCCCCTGCTTTCTGCTTCTTTTCCAACAGGCTGTTTGCAGTCTACTGGAGAGATGCCACAGGTAGGTTTAACCAAATCAGCCTAGGCATCAGAAGCAGCACAGGACTCCTTCAAAGGCAGTCATTCTTTCATTCTTCTTTAGCTCGTGCTGCATAGTTCCACAGTTACATTGCTTCCAGTGCAGTAGTTCCTTTAGCTACCTTATGGGGATAAACTTCTAAATAGCCCAAGATAAACTGAATAGCGGATAGTTCTGGAGCCAATACACCCTTGCCACTGACCAGTGCATGATCCTAAAGGGTCCATCCGTCATCCTAAACTCCACCTGTGATCACTGACTGCTGTGGAGTTCTTGGACATATTAAAGACAGTAACTTAGGCAGAATTTAAGCCTTCTGACCCTGGCCATTGAAGACCCACTGTCCCTTTCCACGAGTTCTTAGCATGCAAAAGGAGGTGGTTCAGGTATACCAGCAATTAATTTTGAATCCCAAGATTGCTTCATTATACAACCAGTTCTGTGTATAGGCCTAAAAATTCTGCATTTTTTCCCAGCTTTAGTGCTTATACAGTATTACTTTGTCAGCTACTGTTTTTTCAGCAATTCCATAATGATATTCTCATTGAAATGAGTTTAACTCTTTATAAATAAGCAAACTCTCTGGAATTAGAGAAAGTTTTCTAATAATGATAGTGAGTAGTTGCTGATCCTATTCATATCCTACGATTCCTTTTCTTCCTATTATGGAAGCAAGCTTTTGGCTCTTGAAGCCAAAAAACATTTATTTTACTTTACATGATTTTAAATTATATTTCATATTCAGTTTTATTTATCTTGCCCAATCTTCTTTCTTATTCAAAACTTGTCATTCTAGTTTCCCACCTTATTTTCTAGACTTCTAATATATCTACAGAAGCACACATATAGTGGGTCAGTTTTCTTTTTTTCTGTGACATTGTTCAGTTACTGCTGGCTGCTCATAACCTCTCTCTACACTCATTAGACTCCAGAATAAGTAATATGATACAAGCTTGTAACAGAAGACAGGTACAAGGCATAAACACTTGACTCAACTTATCAAATAAAATCTACACTCATAATATGTACACACTCAGATCTTCAAAATATCATTTAGGCTCTTCAGTCTCTTCAGGGGTATTCTGTAAGAGCAGTTATCATCACAAAGTAGTACCATGAGCCCTATAAATTAATGCCACTGAAATTCTAAGTAGGCAGTTGGCACACTGAAAAATATTTTATTTTTCCAGAAAAATACATCTTGATATCAGTCTCTACCCAAGGCCTTCATGCACCATAAACATTTTAAACAGATATTCCTGCCAAACTATCTAGTATCTGAATGTTAAGTATCTGTTACCTCCCCTGTGTGCTCAGAAACACTGAAGTAAAGGGTGCAGTTTATATGTAAAAATGATCTCAAATATTTCTTACAGGTTAGGACATGGAGTGCACAGGGCACAACCCTGTATTGAGGTCATAGGGTAGGGGTGTGAGCAGAAGATACAAACCAAGAAGGTGCATTCTGCTGCTTGCACTCTTGTACACGTGCGCTTGGCACCAAGTGGTTTGTGCTTGGCTCACCAATGAATAGAGGAGGTTGAAGCAATGGGAGGCAGGAAACCTGCATTGCCCAGCCAGCTGCCATCCCCAGCATACAGCTCAGCCCAAACAGAACTGAAACCTTTGGCCCCTCTCTCCTTCCCTTTCCCTCAGATTGGGATGTCTCAAAGTAAATGGTTTCCAAGTTAAAAAAAAAAAAAAAAAAGTGATAATTTGGACTGAGGGCTGCGGAGAGAGAGATGAACATCAGATCAGAACAAGAAAAAAAAAGGCAGATGGAGTTCTTTTCGTATTTCTCGTGCTTCACAGGCTATTTTCCCCATAGAGATCTTCTCCTCATATCTGAGAACATTTTTGCCAGAAGAAATAGATGGAGTTTCTGTAAACTCACTAGTTTAGTTTTCTATAAGATGCCATCTTATTGTCAGCTGTTGTTCCTGCCTCTGGTGCCATTTAACTACAGAAAACACTACCTGCCCTACTCCTACTACCAAACTAAAGTTCAATTCCACTCTTTAGTGGATGACTTCATAATCATGACTTCAGGAATTAGCCTGGTTTACTGCACATCACAAAGGGAAAAATGCAAAATAGCTTTAGAAATTATCACTATTATTTATATTCTTACTTTGCTAGTCAAACTGCAGAATTCAAAGAGTAAATCCCTTCCCATTCCTCTGTCTTTCCCAAATAGTATTTAAAGATGAAGTACATCTTATTTCTAGATTCCAGTATCTGGGCTGCCCTCTGGAAATACTAGTCT